TCCTTCCCTGCAGCCCAGCCGACGAGGCAGCAATTACGCTTTGGGGATAAAACGAGGCGCGGAGAACAGGCTGGGGCATTTCTCCCCGAGATGGCGGGTCTGACAGCGGCAACCCCGCGGCCTGGAGTCCTGCTGCTCCTTCTGTCCATCCTCCACCCCTCGAAGCCTGGAGGTAAGGAACCCTGGCCCCTCATCCTGGGGCAGCCTGAGCCCATGGCCCTCCCTCCAGGTGTCTGGACTTACGAGAGGGGGTCTGGCAGGTGAGAGGGAGCCCTGCACCCCCAAGTCCTCCGGGGTCCCCTGCAAGAGCCCCTGGGCCACTGGATCCTCCCAGGAGCCAGCCCCATGCTGAGGAGAAACCTGTCAAACAGATGCCCATGACTCACGATGGCCCAACCTACATCCAGGCTCCGCTGCCCTGGGAGGGCTGAGGGGGTCCTGCTCTGACAGGTGCTCTCGGGGGGTCATCGGAGCACACCAGGGAAGGCCCTACCCAGGCCCCATTGGTCTGCGGTCATTGGCAGCTGGCAGCGGCACCTGTAGAGCAGACTGGGTGTGCATGTGACCCCGGGAGCTGGGGGCCTGGGCTGGAGACCAGCAATCACAGAGAGCCGCGTTCCCTGGCCCTTGGCAGGCAGATCGCCCTCCAAGGAAGGTCAGAGCTAAGACTGTGGGTAGCAGCCGGTAAGCTGCAGCTGTGTTCTGTCCCTGTGTTCAGTCCCAGGAGGGCTGGACTCTCGAGAATGCGCATGTGTGTGCATGAACAAACGTGTCGCGTGCTATTGTGTAGGTGCACATACGCCCGGGTGCATCACTGGGGGAGAGACTTTCTGGGAGGGTAAGAATGTCCATTCACAGGTTCATCCCCAGACAGGTTATGCCTATGGGGTACGTCTAAGCGCCTGTTAATGGTTGCAGACTTGCAAAAGGCAGCACGTGACAGGTCTGCACGTGGGAGAGTTGGTGTCACCATCCAGGTGACTGACTGTGTGCATGTGTGTACGTGCATGCCTGTGTGTGTGTGAGACAGAGAACACAGTGGAGAAAAGGCAAACTGGGGAGGTGGGGAGGTATCCGTCTCCTGGCAGAGGGAGCACTGCTGGAGGAGACCTTAGGGTATCACTGGACCACCTGGCGTGTGCTCTGACCCGGCACAACTGGCTACTGAATTTGAGGGCCCCTTAAGGCCATGCAGGGGTCGGGAGGGACTGAAGGTGCATCTGGCCATGGGAAGAGAGGTGCAGGCGCAGAGCCACTTGACTCCCACGGGCCATGGACAACCAGATCTCTCCTTGCCGTGAGAACCAGACAGGGAGGAGCAGGACCCGTCCTCAGGGCTGGAGTCGGGGAATAGGTAGGCGCGGCAGCTGTTTCCGTCCCATTGACTGGCTGGGCCCGCTGCTGGGAGCCGGAGCATCCTGTGTGGGGACTGCTGCTGACCCTGGACAAGGCTAAAGGACTTGGGCACCCTAGGCAGGGCCAATCGGGGTGGCAAGCCCATACTTAACCCTCCCCCCCCCACCGAGATGTGGTCCCCAAACACCTGCCCACCCTCCCTCCCAGAGCTGCTCTCTGTAGAGCATGACAGCTGATGGTCACAGGAGCCCTGAGAGTTGGGTATTATCAGCTTCACTTTTAAAATGTGGAAACGGAGGCTCAGGCAGGCTAAGGCATTCCCTGAGGCTGGTATCAACCAGCTCTCTACCCTGGGTCCAAAGGTGAGGGGATGGGGCAGGCCTGGGGCTGAGTTCTTTAAGACAAGCATCCCCAGGGCAGAATAAACTCCTGTATCCTCAGAGACACCCTTAAATGCACAGCTAGCCTTGTTCTTCTCGAGGATGGGTCTCAGCTCTGCCCTGAGGCATGTGAATTGATGAGGTCTTCTGGCGTCTGTGCACAGCTGTCCAGAGTCTGGACAGATCCGGCAGCTGCAGGGTCTCAGGCACACACAGCCACCCACCTGGCTGTCCTGGGGGAGCACAGCATCCCACCAAAGAGGTGTCACTCCTGGGGCTCCCTGGCTCCAAGGCCCCGTGCTGCCCATGCAACCTCACAAGAACTTCCCCGGAAGAACCAGCTGCCCCAGGGACCACACCATTTCAAGAGCAAGTGTGAGAAAATAAACCAGGTATTCTATTATCGGCTTGTTTTTTCTTATTTCAGAATTGAAGATGGTTTAGAACAAGGGTTTTCAACCTTAACTATGTACAAGAGGTCCTCTGGGAACTTGGGACAATTCTGCTGCCAGGTTTCCACCCTAGAATCCCTGCAGGATTTAGTCGGGGAGGGGCAGGAGCATTGGGCATGGAGGTTGTTTTTAGCACTCCCAGGTGATTGATGAGCTGCCAGGGCTGTAAAGCTCTGGTTTAGAGGTAGATCCCACTGCTGGGGCATCAGCAGGAGGCAAACATGCCCCCATGTGGCAGGGGACAGAGTCAGCCACTGAAGGACAGATTGTTTTTGAAAAACCCTTGGCAGCCTTCTCCATGCAAACAACAAACAGCTTCGTGTGGTCTTATCTGCTCCCCAGGCTTGTCCCCTTGGACTTTGGCTTGGCAAAGCCCCCTGCCAAGGCCTGCTGGCCTGCTGCTCACTCCCAGACGGACTTCTCCCAGGTCTTTGAACCTGGAGCTCAGGCCCCGGCAGAATATGCTGTGTGTGCCGGGGTCAGTGCAGGTCCCAGGCCAGCAACTTCATCTTGCTGCCTCTCAGTTTCCCCGGCTGTAAAATGGGGAGAAACGGTCCTGCGTAAAGTGTCTGCTAAGATCAGTGGGAGGCTCCAGCAATGTAACATCAGCCAAAAAAAAAAAAAAAAAAAAAAAAAAAAAAGCTGGACAAGGCTAAAGGACTTGGGCACCCTAGGCAGGGCCAATCGGGGTGGCAAGCCCATACTTAACCCTCCCCCCCCCACCGAGATGTGGTCCCCAAACACCTGCCCACCCTCCCTCCCAGAGCTGCTCTCTGTAGAGCATGACAGCTGATGGTCACAGGAGCCCTGAGAGTTGGGTATTATCAGCTTCACTTTTAAAATGTGGAAACGGAGGCTCAGGCAGGCTAAGGCATTCCCTGAGGCTGGTATCAACCAGCTCTCTACCCTGGGTCCAAAGGTGAGGGGATGGGGCAGGCCTGGGGCTGAGTTCTTTAAGACAAGCATCCCCAGGGCAGAATAAACTCCTGTATCCTCAGAGACACCCTTAAATGCACAGCTAGCCTTGTTCTTCTCGAGGATGGGTCTCAGCTCTGCCCTGAGGCATGTGAATTGATGAGGTCTTCTGGCGTCTGTGCACAGCTGTCCAGAGTCTGGACAGATCCGGCAGCTGCAGGGTCTCAGGCACACACAGCCACCCACCTGGCTGTCCTGGGGGAGCACAGCATCCCACCAAAGAGGTGTCACTCCTGGGGCTCCCTGGCTCCAAGGCCCCGTGCTGCCCATGCAACCTCACAAGAACTTCCCCGGAAGAACCAGCTGCCCCAGGGACCACACCATTTCAAGAGCAAGTGTGAGAAAATAAACCAGGTATTCTATTATCGGCTTGTTTTTTCTTATTTCAGAATTGAAGATGGTTTAGAACAAGGGTTTTCAACCTTAACTATGTACAAGAGGTCCTCTGGGAACTTGGGACAATTCTGCTGCCAGGTTTCCACCCTAGAATCCCTGCAGGATTTAGTCGGGGAGGGGCAGGAGCATTGGGCATGGAGGTTGTTTTTAGCACTCCCAGGTGATTGATGAGCTGCCAGGGCTGTAAAGCTCTGGTTTAGAGGTAGATCCCACTGCTGGGGCATCAGCAGGAGGCAAACATGCCCCCATGTGGCAGGGGACAGAGTCAGCCACTGAAGGACAGATTGTTTTTGAAAAACCCTTGGCAGCCTTCTCCATGCAAACAACAAACAGCTTCGTGTGGTCTTATCTGCTCCCCAGGCTTGTCCCCTTGGACTTTGGCTTGGCAAAGCCCCCTGCCAAGGCCTGCTGGCCTGCTGCTCACTCCCAGACGGACTTCTCCCAGGTCTTTGAACCTGGAGCTCAGGCCCCGGCAGAATATGCTGTGTGTGCCGGGGTCAGTGCAGGTCCCAGGCCAGCAACTTCATCTTGCTGCCTCTCAGTTTCCCCGGCTGTAAAATGGGGAGAAACGGTCCTGCGTAAAGTGTCTGCTAAGATCAGTGGGAGGCTCCAGCAATGTAACATCAGCCAAAAAAAAAAAAAAAAAAAAAGAAAGAAAATGCATTAACTAAGAGACAGTAGGGACGTTCATTGTTAAAATTCTCTTATTCAGACAGAATTTGCTAATGTGGGCTGGTTGATCCTTGTATGAATGCAGAATCCCAGGATTTAATTCTCCTCTTGCTACACATGCCATTTTCTGCCTAGCAGGGGGCAGCTGATACATAAACAGATGTGCAGTGAAGGACGAGGCAGACAGGACGGGGGAAGGAGTGGCCTGGAGGAGTCCCAAGAAATCCAGGAAGCCTTCACAGCAGAAGTGACGTCTGGGTTAGAACTTGAGAGAAAGGTCAATGTCTGTGGGTCTGTCAGGTAGATGAGAAGTGAGCCTCAGTCTGTGGGGCTCTGGTGAGGACTGGAGAGACAGAGGAGCTCTTTCTACCTCAATGGGAGGGGCCTTCTCTGCAAGTCCCCTCCGAGCTGAGCTGAGCCTCAGGCAGCTGAGAGGGGAGAGGTGGTGATCTTGCTGTCACGAGAGGTATGCAAGCAGAAACACAAAGGATGTCTGTAGGAGTTCCTGCCAGGCCAGAAGGCTGTTATGATCCCTGAGAGTCTAGGATCATGATTCTAAGATGCAAGAGACAATTTCCACCCTGGGCTAGTCGGTGGAACAAGCCAAACCCACATGAAACAAGACAAGTGTGCTCCAGGCCAACTGCTTTGGGCCAGCAGAGCAGCACAGGCAGGGCGGGCCAGGGCTGGAGGAGGGTGAGGGGGAATGTGAGCTCAGCCTGGGGGGATGGGTAGGACTTGGGCAGAGGCGAGGGAAAAACATTCCTGGCAAGAGGAATGGCACGTGCCAGGGAGCAGAAGTGGGAATGAGGAGGAAGCTACTTTCCAAAGTCCCTTTAGCACTGCTGTCATGTTTCATTCTCACCTTTCCTGCACTTGAAAGATCCTTTGCACCCGGTAAGGCTTCTCCATTTCCTCGGTGTGAACTGGGGCTCAAAATCTTGAGCTTCCCAGGCTGTCCCACAGTTCAGGCGTGGAGTTTGGCAAATGCTATTGGGAATCTGAATCATGGGGGTGGAGAGTGGGGAGATGAGAGCTTGGGAGAGAGGAAGTCTTGCTCCGGAAAGGGGTGGCCACAGAGCGTGGGAGAGCAGAACCCCAGGAAAGACGATATCAGGGTTCAGGCAAGCCTGAGGCAGGGAGACCCCAAGGGCAGCTGAGGATGAACCAGGTCCGACACAGACCCATGGCCGCCTCTCTGCCTCCTCTTCACCGCGTCCACTCGTCCTCTACCGAGCACCTGCTGTATACCTGGCCCTCAGCCATGGGTGACGTAGTGATGTGGGAAGACAGAGCAGCACCATCCACTCTTTTTTTGAACAATTATTGTGTGCCAGGTCCCAGACAGGACAAGACTGTTTCCTTGAACCCTTTGACGATCCGCAGCAATCTTGCAAGGCAGCAGGTATCGATCCCAAGTTGCAAAAAAGAAAATCAAGGCCCAAAGAGGCTAAGCGACTTGCCCAACGTCCACAGATGGGCAGCAGCAAATCCAGAATTAGAAACCAGGGGGTGTCTATGCTGAGTCCTGGCTTCTCCTACCAGTCCACCCTGCAGCCAGAGAGCAGGGAAGAGGAAAGAGGGAGAGGGAGAGAAAGAGGAGCAGGAAGGAGGAAGGCCGCAGAGAGAAGACACACGGGAGAGCGTTGGGAGCTGGAGGCCGGAGCCGGGAAGGCATCAAAGGCCCACGCGGCCATGTGTGCTCCTGGCAGCTGATGACAGACCGAAATGCTCCTTCCCAGCAGGCCCAGCCCCCAGGGCCACCGCTCCGGGCCCTCGAGGCCTTGTCCAGATTGCTCACACGCTCCAAGCCTGGACTGCAGCCCCCTGGGGGGCCACAAGCCCTGGGAGAGGATGGCGCCATGGCTTTGGCACAGGGCGGCCTTGACCCAGCAGGGCTGCAGCTGAAGCTGACAGGACCGTGGAGCAGGCAAGCCCAGCTGCGCAGCGTCGCCAGGCCATGGAGGCCAGACGTCTGGCCATGAGGCCTCCCTGGACATGCTGAAGAGCTGCCCAAGACCGTCCTCCACCCTCGCCCATGCCCCATGAGTCTCCCACTCCTTTCAGCGGGGGTTGGGACTATACCATGGCATTGGCAAGCTGGTTCATGAAGGTTGGGGACAGCCTGTGGTGGAGCCACAGCCCCTTTGGGACCTGGTCTGTTTTCATGACAACGACTCGGGCCTGGGTCTGGGGCCAGCATCCCCGTGTTCCCCAGTGAGAGCATCACTGGTCCTTAGGGGCTGAACTCCCGATCTTGTCAGGGCAGTGAATTCATTTTTCCTTCATTCTGCTCATTGATGGCGTTGCCCTCCAGCCCCGGCGCCTCCTAAGACAGCCCCATGTGGGATGGCCAGAACCCCACCCAAGCGCAGTTGCCCAGCGGCTGAGGACGCTGACCTCACGCCATCCTATCAGTGTGGGAATGGCTGCGTCTTGGCTGGCAGCAGCTCCACTTCCTGACTGCTCGCTGCTGTAGCCCAGCCTACCCTCCCCTACTCGGGCCCTGCCCCTACGCTCAGCTCAGGCGGGAGGAAGGCAGCTGCCCTCTAAAAGGCAACCAGACCTTTCCCTGCCACAGACTACCTCCTCCAAGGAGAACCAGGTAACTGCAAAGAGCGGCCTGAGTTCAAGTCTAGACTCCGACTCTTCCCAGCTGTGTGTCCCCAGGCATGTTCCTTAAACTCTCTGAGCCCGATTTCCCCTATCAAAATGGTGATCGTAATCCCTGTGTTCCAACCTCACAAGGCCTTTCTGAGGAACAGGAGTGAACAGAGATTGCTTTGTAGACAGGCAATGTCGTCTTCACTGTGACTGCGTCCTTCTCAGTCCCAGCTAATGCAGAACTCTACCTTCTTCCTTGCAGGGGTCCCAGGGGCTGTTCCTGGTGCGGTTCCCGGAGGAGTCTATTATCCAGGTAATGTACATAAACGTCCACACGCCCAGGAATGGCAGATTATGGTACTGTTCGTAAGACATGCGCATTTGACGCTGCAGCAAGCAAGAGCGGTGACATACCTTGCACTGAATATCCCAAGTTATGCCCGCTTAAAAGTGCACTTAGCATGGCATGGTTCTGCAGCTATTACGGAGTGACTTTTTGAAAGATGAAACACAAACTTTTGAGGCTGTCGGATGGTGAGCACCTTCATGCATTCTCGCCCTTTGAAGGCCTCCAGTCTTGAACCATTAGTCTGACTCTTGGGAATTCTATCAAAGGCAATCGTTAAAAAGAAAAAGAAAAAAATATTCTGCAACAAGGCTCCTGGGAGTGTTATTTGCAAATATATAGACAGTAAAATAAGAACCCCACTCGACTGGATGGCATGATGAAGTGACTGTGAAACATTAGGCAGCTCTGAAAAATACGAATGTGCTATCATTCCTTATGGTGAAGTGGTTCTGAAGTAAAAATAATGTAAGAGCAAAGACTATGTGCAAGTGGAGACTGGGAACGTCTCCCCCACCAAAGAAAATGAGCAGAATTGTAGGCCAATTGGAGTTTTTAAAATTTTTGCCATAAGGTGCATAAGCTCCATGGAGAGAGAGGGAAGTCACCCCCCTGGGAGGATGGCTGCCCTGCACTCCCTTCTCCCGTTCTCCACTCAGGATGTTGAGCACATACACCCAGCATGATTTTCAAGCCCCTGGGTTTGGGACTCGAGCCATGGAGTTGGCCATGTGGGATTCAGCACCTTAACCACCACACCACCTGCTGGCCCAACTTTTTTCTTTTGACTTATAAAAAAAAATAATAAAAAGCATAATGTTTTCAAGTAGATTTTTCAAAGCAGAAGTAATATTTCTTTTTGTTTTTTAATTGTCTGAGTACGTGTGCTCACCAGAGAGATACAGAGAGACAGGAGTTGGGGAAAAAGCATCCCCCCCAATGGGATGTGGTCATGCCCGAGTCTCTTCTCCTCTGTTTCTCCATCTGGTCAGGATTTGGGGCATGCACACATACGTACCCAGGGTATTCTTCAAGTTGCTGGGGCCCAGATTCAAACCACAGTTGGCCATGTGGGATCCAGCTTCCTTAACCACTAGCTTACAAGGTCATCCCAAAATAATATTTTTCTTTCTTTCCTTTTTTTTAGATTTTTTGCCATAGGATGAGTGTACTTGCCAGAGAGAGACAAAGAGAGAAAGTAAAATCATCCCACAGGGAGGATGGCCATACCACAATCTCTTCTCCTCCATTCTCCTCTCAGGATTTTGGGCATGCACACACATGCACCTGGCATGTTTTTTAAGCTGCTGGTTCCAAATCTTGAACCATGAAGTTGGCCACGTGGGATCCAGTGCCTTAACCACTATGCCACCTGCTGGCCTGCCTACAAAAATCATGTTTTTAATCCTTAACAAGTATTGGGTCATTGGGAAAGTCATGACACATTTTTGCCTAGAAAAATACATAACGACTTTTCCAACCCAATATTTGAGTGTTCAGAACTGACACAGGGGCAGCTCTCCCAGCACAAATGGGTACAGGACCGTTGGCCCAGTGAAACAGACTAGGACCCCGAGGCTCAGGCGGTTCTGACTTGCCCAAGGACATGCAGCTAGGCAGGGACAGATCTGAGTGGGAGTGGAGGGCGGCTTGGCTGACAGGGGTACTAATGGTTCTCTCTTTCCTGTCTCTTAACACAGGGGCTGGACTTGGAGGCCTAGGCGGAGGAGGTGAGTGTAGAAACCAAACCTGGTTCCTCCCTGAAGGGTCTGGGTGTCACCTTAGGCACATTCATCACCTTCAACCCTGAGAACTCCAGAAAACCCAGGTATCAAGGGCTCCCTCGTTTTGCAGACTGAGGGTTCAGAGGAAGAGACCTGTCTGAAAGCCAGACCCTGTCTGCACCCTGAGCCTCTCCCTGAGCTCTTTCCTGAGTGGCTTCTGTCTTCTTTCATATATCCTTTGATCTTCAATACCATCCCTGCTGAGCCGACTGAGTGGGTAGCAATGATCCCTTCTGAGGCTGAGAACCTGGGGCCCAGAGAGTCTAAACCACAAGTCAGGGCAGGAAGACTCTCTTAGGACCTGGGCAATGTGCTAGCCCAATGTTCTCTCTCACCCTGCCCGGGGAGGGGTAGTAAATAGTAGGACAAGTGGTCTGGGACGCCCCCCACTCATGACCATCTCTTCCCTCTGCAGCACTGGGGCCTGGAGGAAAGCCGCCCAAGCCAGGTAAGACCAGCCAGCAGAGGCCCGAGGTCTCAGAGCACTGAGAGAGGGCACAGGGGCCAGGGAGAAAAGAACCTGCAGAGCTGGGAGCCGGGCACAGGAGCCAAGAGGCAGGAGGAGAAAGGTGTGGGCAGCCACAGTCCCCAGGTATCGGCAAGCCCAGGCCAAATCCCAGGACTTCCAGGGACAGGAGCGGAGGTGGCTCAATGTCCTTCCTTTATGAGGTAGTCTAACACCTGCCTGGGAGTGCCTACGTGCAAACAGCCCAGAGACTCCCCTCTGCGCTGGGTCTCAGAAACAGCACTGGGGCTGAAGGCAAAGGTGCACACGGCAGGCCCTGGGCTCTGTACGAAAAGTCCCCTGCCAAGCCCTACCTAAACCCAATCTAAGACCCCAGGCAGCCTGACCTTGATGCCAATCTGACCCCTTATTCTGACCCCAGACTGACCAGTGGTCCCAGGCTGAACCCTAACCTCGTACCAAGCTCTGACCTTAACTCTAGGCTGAAGCCTGACCCTAGACTCCAGATGAGCCTCAGTAGTGGCCTCAGGCCAAGCGCTGACCCCTAGCCCAGGCCAAGCACTGATCCTAGCCCCAGAGGAGTTCCCTTCCTGGTCGCAGGCCCCTTCCAGCTGTGTCCAGACCACGGCGTTTTCCAGTAAGAAGGTGTGACTGGGTCTATCCTGGCCTCACCCATGGGTCTGGATCTCCCACCAGGGCCCACTCTCATTCCGGAAAACTCACCCTAGGGAGGAGAGAGGGGATGCCTCCAAGTATCAATGGCAGAGACGGTACAGGTGAAGGAAATGACGTCTCTGTCCAGATTTAGGACCCCCTCCATGTGAGACAGTCCACATGTGGTCTTGGCACCCCCCCACCCTCGCTATGTCACCCTGGCTCTGAAACCCAAGGTTCTAGGACACTGTTTGGATGTCCAACAGCTCTTACGAAATCCTGCCGGTCGATGATTCAAGCACAAATGAATCTGTGAGACCCAGATTCTTTTGCTAAAAGTCCATCTGAGTTGTGAAACCAGGGCTAGGGCCAGGCGAGGGAGGTAGAGAACAGGGGGTTTCAGGAGTCTGGGGGTCTCTGAGACCAGAAGACCTTGGGCTTCCTGCTTATCGCTGCCAGAACCTGCATCCTGTCTTCCTGGAGTGGGAAGAGAGCTCAACAGGGCCTTTGGTGGTAGGGGGAACCCAGAGAAGGGCTGGATGATCAAAGATGTGCAGGTGGGGCAGCACCTAGGCCAGGAGACCCCCGATGTGGCCAATGTGACTGTAAAGCTAGGGAAAGTGTAGATCGACACAGGACAGTTATGGTTAGACACTGGAGAGAAGACCGAGAAGACTGCATACAGAGCCCCAGGATGAATGTTTTGCTAAAGCAAAGCTTTTATTAATGAAAGATTAGGTTAGACTTCGGAAAGAACTTCCAGCTCTGGTAAGGGAGTAGAACAAAAGGAAAGCCAGGACATTGCTTTCTGATGGAGAGGTACAGTCACCGGGTAGGGGACTGGCTTCCATGACCTCCCTGAGGTCCTCTTTCAGCCACAGGACTCAGGGCTATAAAGACCTCCTCTGGAGACCAGCAGTTGGTGTAATGGCTATGTCTCTGGACTCCCATGTGGTCGACTGTGGATCGTGTCCCAGACCCGGTGGCTTAAACTCACACCGGGAACGTATGCGTACGTGCCCAAGATCCTGAGAGGAGAATGGAGGAGAAGGGATTGCGGCATGGTCATCCCCCCTCGGGGGTGACTTCTCGCTTTCTATCTCTCTGTCCCTCTGGAGAGCACATGCGCCCTATAGCAAAAATCTCTCCAATAAAAAAAAAA